TCGTGTTTTACTTTCTGTTCTCGAATCTTATTAAGAGCTCCGCGCCGAAATACTCCAAAGGCTACAATCGAGTAATAAGCCGGCTGAATGCAACTTAACCGTATGGTTGTCAGCATGCTACAATAGGTACAACTGTCAGTTGGGCGGTGGTGAGAGGGTGCAAGAGTGCCTATCCGCTATTAGCTTACGATGACAGAACTTACGTTACTACTTTTACTTTTACTTCTGCATCGAGTTTGTTAGGTGGTGAACCTTATTCTAGCCAACGTTTCGACAGACTCTCGTTTTCAAAGGCCTGAAAATGGCTCAAAGCTTACGAATTACACACTATACCCACCGAACGCCTCCTCTACCGTAGCGTTTTCGACGTTCTATCAGGAACGCTCGGGAAACACCCAAATTTCAAAAGATAAGCTGACCTTTCTTCCACCGCGAAGTGTAGAAGGCTGCTACACACAGTTAGTACATTAGTAGCGAATAACCTCACTCTGTTGTCCTTATGCAATTTTAATATTGCGGACAAGCACGTTCGCGTACTATGGAAGTAACTCGCAGTGTTGCATAAATGGCAGAGATCATTTGTGAATTACACAACCACACATTGACACACATTGATTCTCATTTCAGCTTTTTTCTGTAATGGTGAAGTTGATGCGCTCATATGAAGTAGTTTCGCTGAGCCTCAAAATCACTTGTTTTGCGAACAAGTCTACTAATCAGTACTTTTTACATGGCACTTATAATCTCCCTATTTTTCTGTACTGAAATGGAGTTGCAATTGGTGAGCGTGCACTTTGTAGATTGGTGGATCTATAGAAATTCGCCCGAGAATCGAAAACAGGAAGCGCTACCACCGTTTGGGTGGCCAGTTTAATGCAACCTTGCATGGCCTTCCTTAGTCGCCATCATTTTGGATCTTTTGGTTTTGTATAACATTTTTATGAAGATCATTCGCAGATGCATTGGCTGGTCTCTTGCTCAGTCGTTTGTATTGGCAGTAAGCCCTAAGCCCTCCAGTTTGAGGAAATGACGTCCCAAGCACATTCGGATTTTGTGTAGTACAATTTGTTATTCATACGGCTCGTCGATTTTGAATTGAAATGTCTAGCTACGTTTCCCTCTTAACATCGTTTCTTCGACATAATCACGTGGAGAAGCAGTGATTCGGAGATGAAAATCCCGCTGAGATGCATTCCTTTGCCTGGCATCAATGACTTGTAATCATTGTTCGTAGTGGAATCTAGCGCGAATGAGTGTCACTTGACCAGGAAGGTCTTTCAGGGCGTGACAAGCTTTTTGAAAACGGTCTTTTGCATGATATAGGGGCAGATGCGGGAACCACAGAACCATGTTCAATTTTTCCTGAACGGCCCTCTGAATACCAGAAAAGGAGGTCCCTAGTTCGATTCCTCGTGGTAACAAATTTTTGCATTTCGAGTTGACGTGCCAAAATTCGCGCAAAATGGAGTTAGAACCAACCAGAACAATCAGAACTCCATTTTGCGCGAATTTTGGAACGTCAACTCGAAATGCAAAAATTTGTTACCAAGAGGAATCGAACTAGGGACCTCCTTTTCTGGTATTCAGAGGGCCGTTCAGGAAAAATTAAACATGGTTCTGTGGTCCCGCATCTGCCCCTATATCATGCAAAAGACCGTTTTCAAAAAGCTTCGTCACGCCCTGAAAGACCTTCCTGGTGAGATACGCAGACAGCGCACTTTCCGCGGAATTTTGACTTAGTCAGCATCTCAACGCTTCAACTGCAGGACATGAGACATGAATGCTGATACACTGCATCTACAACTACTACTTCCATTTCTTCCTTTCTATGCAGTACAACTCGTGTTTTTTCACTGACCGGAAGCAGTTGGAGGGCGCTGGGCCGGCGGTGCCATCCACCGTGTTTTTTTTTTCTGCAAATGCGCTTCCATTCAAGGTCCTAGTAATGTAAATGACTTGAAGAACAACTAATGTGCGGCGTTTGTCGAGCTTGCAGAATTACGGGGAATTTGGATGAGAATATAAACTCATCTTCCATTGCATACCGGCTGGATCGATTCAAGTGTCACTTTCTGATGATCTGCGTTAAAAGGAGATTCACGATTAGAATGAAGGTCGAAGAAAGGGAAACTGACCTAGTTGAGGGACCCACGGACCTCCTGAGGGTGCGAACTGACGCGCAATTCGCATGGAAAAATTTGACCTCGGCGACCTATCATGCCTCAAAGCTGGCGGGTCCGGCGATCTCCGCCCACCGATCATCTGATCACTCGCCGTAGTTCAATACGTGGCGAGTGATTAGATAGCTGAGAGAGCGTAGTGTTGAAGAGGGCACAGCGATGAGAGTCGCATCAATGCTCGAAATCAACGGGCAAGGAAGGGGTACCATTTCTCGGGTTCTGGGCCGTTTCTCATGGTTCTTCCTTCTTTCGTGTACCACTCACCATCCCTAGGTTAATTTGAAATGGGTTGCTTTTCATCGTGAATTCGTCCTTTAAATCGTGGGCGCGT